CTTTAGAAAATCAAACAAATATGTTCATGCGTAAAAAATAAAAATACATTTATGTTTCCTGGAGGAGGGCCTGGATATGGAATACGAGGCTGTTGGACATGACTTACATTTGGATATACCGTAACATCTGCTGCAATTAATTGGCCGTTTCCAGATGGACTAAAATGAACTGAGGAAAGGTATTAATTTCGAAGGACAATTATGGATCAAAAAGTCAAATAAGTTAAAAGAATTACTTACATGCATCAGTATTAATCTCTATTGGGGGGTCAACAACAACATTATTATTTGGTAAATTGAAGTATCGGAGCAACAACGAAGCAATTGAAGTATGTTCGGGATTGCTCATGTCAATTATAAATACTTCACCATTATCTCTTCGTTGATATTTATATCCGGAAGACTCTTGACGTTCAAGGAATTTATTGTATTCTTTTATCGTTATATTTGAGCCGATTTTATAAGGTAAACTGAAAATTCATACAAGTAAACACTAGCAGATATTGAAGTATTTTAAGTGTTTTACATTTGATGCTCACTTACCTCTCCTCGTTTAACGACTGATCCGGAAAATGTGGAATGTTTGGAAGTAATTTGTTTGGAAGTAATTTGTTTAGAACTTTCTTCATTGGAGTGGAGATTTTTGAAATCAAACAAGTTAATTATTATGAGAACTAATTAGATATGATGAAAATGCTCACAACCAGGTGATCACAATTTGACAAATGTAAAACATATTTAATATTCGATATATGAAGAGCATATATTCGTTTCACAATGATTTTTTTTGTGATACCGCTAAAATTATATATATATTAATCACCACCTTGTTGGTCATGCTCGTTGGAACTATTGTATATTCAAAGGGATCATACCACATACTAATAAACACAATAGTATTAATAATCACCAATCCAAAATTAAAATTATTATTATCTGGATGGTGCATCGATAATCAAAATCTTTGGATGAAGAAAGTTTAGATGAGGATACTGAAAATGGTAATAAAAATAACATAATTTGAAATTAAATTTTTATTTAAATTTATTTATTACAACGTAATAAATATGCCATTCACTAAATGTTT